AAGTTGTGACCTTTCTTTGTTTAAACCGACCAACTCTAAATTAAGAAAAGAAGACCCCACTCATTCTAGCTAACTAAAGACCCTTGAAGCCCCCAGCCCTCCAGGAGAGCCAAGGTTTTAGCATCTGAGTCCCCCTCTGCTTTGCCAAGGATCTTTCTCTCTGTGTGCCTTGCTGTGTGCATGCATGCGTGTGTGTGTGTGTGTGTGTGTGTGTGTGTGTGTGTGTGTGTGTCTGTGCCTGTTTTCTCACCTTTAATACAATTCTTTCCTCATTGGCTGATTCTGCCTGCTGTGTCTAAGATTTCCCCTGCTGCCACCTGTTGAGCTCAAGATTTTTTTTCCTGCCTATTAATTCTTTAACTGGTGGAGAAAATGAAGCCAATCCAGAACCCTGGAATGTAGCAGCTGTGCTCTAGCTGGAGGAATAGATGTTTGCTGGTAGATTTCCAGAAAGACACACAGCACCTTTATATAACAAGCCGTATAAAACCTGCACCTGCCTCCCTACACTGTTTTAACACCTAATAAAGGCGAGTGCTCTGTAAAGGCTTCCTGAGTTGACTAAGAAATAACAATAAAAGGCCTTGCATCAGCACAGACATGTTTGTTGTTCAAATATTCTTCATTTGTAGTTGGTTGAATCCAAGGAGCAACTATGAGAAGAACCTTGGTTCAGAGCTGACAATATTGCAGTTTCTTGCTTTTTGCCCACACATAGGAGTCATCGTCCCGAATTCAGGAGGTAGGAAACATGCCCATGAAGTCAGTGCTGGATACAGGAGTTCTGGGTTCAAGACCGGATATTGCAGACTCACAGCATGACTCTGGGTAAGCTGTTGTCCTCTCTGGGCCTCAGATTTGCCGTTGACGATAGATTTTGGAGAAGATGCCTATTACCTGGCTGCTTAGGGCGTGTGTGGTGGAAAGCCTTATCTGGAAGCTGGAGGCAATGCCAAAGCTCAAGTCCTGTCTGCCAGGCTCAAAGACAGATGCAAGCTTCTGACACTTGCTCTCTGAGCTGCTGGCTCTGTCCCGCAGGCTTCAGTTGGCCTAGATGTTGGCTCCCTCTAGTGGCTCAAAAGCAAACTTTTGGGGGGAGGAGGAGGACACAACTGGAGTTCATTCCCTTCTGATTTTTTTCCCCTTTGGTTTTTTGTTTGTTTGTTTGTTTTTAACATTTCCAGGTGTGGTTGGAAGCTCCTGCATCCAATTGTCACAGGAACTCCCGTCCCTCACGGCTTCAAGAGAAGCCACAAGTTTCACACACTGCTATTATAGGTGCTACTCCATGGGAAGCTGAACATTTGCAGCATGACACCTGGAAGTTGTTCTCTGCAACAGCAAAGGTCATAGGTACTGTACTGCCTGGGAACCTCACACACCTGTGAACAGGGCTGACCCCAGAAGGCCTCAGAAGCAGATAGAGGAACTCACACTGAAGAACGTACGAGTTACAGGGGTGAGTTTTTTCAAACAAGCAAACTGGGTTTGAGTCTCACTTCCCAAATGGCCCTAGGGCAGTTTAAGCTCTCAATCTTTCCACTGCCTCACCTTTAAAATGGACAAGAGTTTGGATTGCCTAGAAGCACAGACTGAAAACAGCATCCAGCACATGACAAGTGCTCAAAAGTAAATGAGGCAAAACTTTCTGGACAGAAGAAGAAGCAAAATGTATTACTGCATAAAGCTGCAGTGTTGACGGTGTGGGTGCGGATTACCTACCCAATGAGCTAAACTTTGGACTGTGTATAAAAGGCCAGTAGCTTCTGAGACGTGGTGCTAAATTATCCTAGTCTTGATTTCAATATCATGTTCCCTAGATGAATTCAGTAAGTCATCTCATCTCCAAACCTGGGCTTCCTCTCGGCGATCTAGAAGCTGATGCATAAGAACATAGGTAGGGAAACTTACTGGTCTACCCACGAATAGAAGGGCCTAGTGCTTCTGAGTGCCATGGGAAAGCACTTTACACTTGGCTGAGTTTGAAATAAGAGTGTTTATGTAATCAGAAGTGTGTTTGGAAAAGCTCTTGCCTGGTAGCTGAAAGGCCTCCCCAGAAGGGTTACACAAAGCACTGCAAATACCCCCAACTCTTGTGTCCCAGCTGAGAGCCTGCTCCAAGCCAGCTATCTACTTGACACATCCTCTTGGTGTCAGAGGACACAGCTGGACTCATAGCAATTCAGGCTGCGGATTTTTCCACACAGTCCCCAGCTCCAGAAATAGCATCACTGACCACCCACTGGTTGAAGCTAAATATCTAGGGGTCACCTTCATATTCCCCTTTCCCTCTCTACCTACACCAACACAACAAAAGTCCACAAATGTCATCATCCCTTCCAACCTAGTGTAAGTCAAAGCCACAACCATGCTGTGTTCCCAGCCTCTGCAGACCTCTTAAACTGGCCTGTCTGCCCCCATCCCATTGGTTGTGAGCCACAGCAGCTTCAATCTGATCTGGTCATAGATTACATACCTATAATCCAAACCCTTGGGAGGCTGGGGCGGAAGGAGCTAGAGAATGAAGTCAGATTTGACTACATAGAGTTCCGAGTCCATTATAGTAGTTCCCTGTCCGAAAGTAGGAAGGGGGAGGAAAGAGAGAAGAAGGAAGGAGTAAGTGAGGAAGGAGGGAGGGAAAGAGGAGAAGGAACACGGGGAGGAGAAAGGAGGGAGGCAGCAGGCAGATAGAAAGGAAGAAAGAAATGAAAAGCATGAAGCTCGACCACGTCTCTTTTCCATGGAAGATTCCACATTACCCCACCCCTGGGTTCTGGGGTAGACCTCTGTCCCTTCTCCATGTGCCTTCTCACAAGGCCCAGCCACACTAAGTTCCTTCTGGTTTTCAGGATTGGGGCCAGTGTGCCCCCTCTAGGCGCACCTTCCTCCGCTGTCACAGTGTGCCATTCTTTCGATCACAGAGCTGTCCCCAGTCTCTATGACCGCAGTGGTCCTCATGTGTTTATCACTCTTCACTTTTCTTCTGTTTAGGGGAGCCCATGGTCTGTCTGTGGCTCCTGTGCCCTTGTGTGACCCCTTCCCCCTCAGGTGGAACATTCCCAAGACTTCGTTTCTAAAGAACAGGCACCGTGACAAGATACATGTGATTGTGCATACATGCTGTATTACTCAAAACGTAATACTCGTTTCAAGTCTCTTCCTCGGTGGCTTTAAAGACAGAGGGTGCCACTTTGTTAGCTGTCAGGAGAGGAACATGAAGCAAAGAACTGGGGCCTCCGTCTGTAGCTGTGAAGAAACTATAAGTGATCCATGACCGTGTGTTCTAACTAGGACCTCAGTCTGTAGCCACGAAGAGGCTGTGTGTGACCCGTGACTGTGTGTACTTGGATTTAAATCTTTCCCAGATACACCTCAGAGAAGAAGCCCCACCCAATCCTGTTAATATTGTTAAGCACGTTTATGCCACTAGTTGCTGCAGATTGTGGATCAATAATAAATACATCAATCACGAATACAACTGTTAATTGATTCCCTATAAGACAGTACATCTTGGGAGCAAGGCCAGGGACCTCTGTGTTTGCCAAGACTGAAGTCTCAGAACCCAGCTAGCTGGACAGCAGGAAACACAGACAGACCCTCGCATGAAGTAACGAGCTTTTCAATAAAGAGTTGCCTCTACTACTACTTCATGGTGTTGATAGCCTTGGCAATTCTTGTTCTCTAATGGATGGATTCTCTTTAGGGTCAAGTGAAGCTGGAAAGCATAGAATGCAGGGAAGTTGAGAATCTTATGTCCTACTGGGGCCAGCGGCATCATCTATTTCTCCCAGCAAACTTCCTTTTCTTCTGGTATTCCTTTGGGGTCTCCTTCCTTCTTGCCAACCTCACCAACTGTGGGACCATAGTGGTGATCTAGGAGGCACTCTCCCAGCTCTTGCATGAATACACATGCCATTTAAGCAGATGCTATTATACTGGCCACTGTGATTGGTTCAAGGTTGGTCACATGACCCAGATCTATCCAATCAGAGTCGAATCTGGAATTTGCATGTACAGAGCAACTTTCTAGTTGAGTACAAAGTGCAACAAAGAGCTGAAGAGAATGCTGTGTGGGATACACCTGCTGAAAAAAAAGGTGCACAATAAGGAAATTGAGGTGAAATCAAATGAGTTTTAGACCTTCACAATGCATGATCCTGTAGCCAGCCTGGACTACAGCAAGGCCCTGTCTCAAATACAATAGCAAAATCTGCCCACTGGGTTTTGGTTGAGTGAAATCACTCCAACCCCTTTGAAAACAGCTTTGAGTTGCATGTTGTCTCTAGCAACTGAATAAGCTGTGTACTGTGGTTTGAGTGTGAGAAGTCCCCCGTAGACTCAGGTGTTCAGCTCCTGGTACTTGCCAGGGGCAGGCCCTGAGGTTCTCAGCTGAGCTCAATTTCCAGTCCTCTAAATGCGTCGTGACTACATGTGCAATGTGACTTGAAGCCATTCCATCCCCGCCAGGATGGGCTGCAGCGCCATTAACTGTAAGCCAGATGAGCCTTTCCGCCCTAACGCGGCAACTTGTTGGGTATTTGCTCACAACAACCTGAAAAGTAACTCGGGGCCCCAAAATTACACAGGATGGGCTGTGACATCAACAGAGAAATTGCTGCGGTTTTATGTTGCCCGAGGTCCATGTGTTAAAGCCTTGGTCACCAGACCATGGTGCTAAAAGGGTAGAAGGAACCATTAGAGAATGGGGCGCAATGGGAAGTTAGGTCCTTAGGGACTGCCCTTAAATATTGGGACCCCAAGCTCTTCTTTCTGCTCCCTAGCCACCATGGGGTGAGCAGGCCTTCATCAGGAACCCCAGCATGTACTGAGCCATCACGGGTTCAAATCAAAAGGTCTAATGAACTCTGTACTGGAACTTCTAAACCGCGAGCCACAGTTTTTCCTTTATAAAGATAATTATCTCTGGTCTTTTGTCATGATAGCAAACATCTAATTAATGCATGTCTGACATATGGAAATGAGTAGGAGAGAAGGCATAGCAAGAACCAAATAAATATTTAATAACTGTAAAGAGGAAACCACACAGGCTTGTTTGTTTGCTTTGTAGTCTTCAGTATGTGCTTGGTTGGTTTGTTTGTCAAGAAATGGCTTGACAGGGCAAATTCTTTTAAAAACAATATAAACATATCAAGTACCAATACACCGACGATCAAGGCACTCCACAACTAGGCCTTGAGACTAAAAGACTCCTAGCTGCAAGGTTAAGACTGCTTTTCAATTCAGCCCACAATCCCCAGATGTTGCTGCTCTTTCTGATAGAAAAGCAATACAGGCAGGAGAGCTGACTCTCTTTGGGTTATTTCTTTTGCCTCTTCTTTCAAATGACTGGAGAAAACGCTCTTCTTCATCCTCCCCCCGCCCAATAAAATGAAACTAAACTTCAAAAACAAGTGACCTTACCCCAAATGGGACCTAGGACTCAACCCAGTGGCCCTGGTGGTCCAGCTTCCCAGTTCTAGAAGCCTGGGACTCTGCTAAGGTCAAGACTGCATACTGGGGATTGGGAAGGGCTGGGGAGGGCTGGGGAGGTGGCTCCGGCCACTGCAGTTTAGACACAGTGAGCAGTGCAGCAGAGCAAGCATCCAGCCCTCTCTCTGAGCTATGACCCAAGCAGAGAGGCGAAGAGCTTTCCCAGCATGCTTAGGAAGCAATCTCTGGTTCCGTATGGCCTGTCATTCCTGGTAGAGCCCCTCAAAGTCTGCAGACTTCATAGCCAGCTGACAGTTGGTGTTGGCATGCTGCTGTGTCAGGGGCCTGTTGTGTGAAAGGACAAAATGGTTAGTTTAGGAGCAACACCAAGAATGGCCCAGCACGTGTACTGCACTCTTGGCTGTTGTGTTCTATGAACTCTTGTCACAGAAGGTAAGAAAGCTGAACTCCTGTCCAAGCTGACTGGCACCTTATGAAGGTCTAGCTAATGATGTGTCTTTGGGGAGAATGAGGAAGAGCACTAGGGAAAGACTTCACTTGGGAGAACGGGTCTCTTGGGCTCGTTTGCACGCTCATGATCTCTCACCGGTGCCCTCCCCCGAACATGTTTGTACCTGGAGAGCTGTACCAGTTACGGCCATATGGAGGCAAACCCACAGGCTAAGGATGGCAGCGAAGAAAGGCAGAAGGCACTCGGTATGTTGGTGACACCATACAGTGGTTGTACCAGCCCTCCTGGGCTGTCTCCATCTCTTGATTATCCAATAAAAACAAAACCTTATTTGAGTTAGTATCTACCTACCTCAGGCTATTTTGTTTGTAATTACTTGCCACCAAAAACATTTCTACCTGGCAACAAAAAAGCCAAAACAAACAAACCAAAAACAAGAAACCTTTGCTCTGCTCTTCTTTCTTTTTGTAAGCAAGTGTGTGAAGAAGCACTGGGCAGTGTGACAGGTTCTGCAATCCCAGCTGTTTGGGAAGCTAGGGCAGGAAGGACGTTGCAGTTTCAAGGCCAGCCTGTGCTACAGAGTGAGTTTAAGGCCAGCCTGATCAACTTTGTGAGAGCTTATGTCAAAATTTAAGGATGATTATATATATATTGGATTTTTGAGACAAGGTTTCTCTGTGTAGCCCTGGCTGTCTTGAAACTTGCTTTGTAGACCAGGCTGGCCTCAAACTCACAGAGATCCTCCTGCCTCTGCCTCCTAGGTGCTGGGATTAAAGGAGTGCACCACCACCACCTGGCTCAAGAACAGTAACTTTAAAGGCCTAGAGAATGCTTGCCTCAGAAGCCTAAATTCTGAATTCAGTCTGCAGTAATTGGATGGAGTGGGGTAGGGGGAAGTCAGGCACACTCTGGATATTTGGAAAGACCCAGGGTGAGTGACGTGGGGTGAATAATTTGTGTGGTCTACAAAGGCACATGCTGCCCTGGCCCCTTACTTCCCCCTACCCCAGCCTTCAGGCCCTAGGAAGTCTCTCCAGCATCTTTGACATTAAGATTATCTACAGAGAAGATCACAATGTGTTGCTGAGTAACTGTCTAGTATATTTTCCTAAGTAAGGCCATATTCGAATTTGTTTCCTTTTTCATCTTTCAGTTTAGGATCAAACCCATTAAGTCATAGAACAAATTGGTAGCTCCTCTTTGATCTCTTGTACTTTGGGTCAGTCAATGAGGGACTATTTTTATCTTGAGTGTTAAAGATTTTCCTAACACAGCATCTAATTTATCATAACACCTTCTATGTTCTTTCCATTCTTGTTATCTCACAGAGGAACAGGGGAGTTTTCACATAACATGTGGAAGAGCTACGTGATTCAGTGAACTGACCCTTCATACCAAGGCATCGAGTCACATAACCCTGTGTGGTACAGATCTGCTCAGACTATGTTAGTAAAAGAGTGAAAAACAATGTCACATTTTCACTAAATTAGAAGCAAGAATCATTATAGAGTTCAGCTATACTATCAGAGAGCATCCACAGTCCTCTGGAGAAGGTTCCCCTTCCCCACTGCACTGTGAGGGTCCGGCTTCTCCAAAGATTTCCTCCAGACCACATGAACAGAGGTACAAAGGCTAGCCTTGCTACTTCCACCAAAGCATATAGTTAAGAAAACTATGATAGCCAGGGTGGCACTGTGCACCTGTAGTTCCAGCACTTGGGGAAGGGTGCTGAGGCAGGAAGAACAAGAAACTGAGACTAACCTAAACTATATCATGAGTTCCAGGCCAGCCTTGGCCATATAGCAGGAGGTAGGAAAAAATAGAGAAGGCTATTGATAAATATAAGACAATGTGACCTGTCTAAATTAATTTTGTTTATAAAATACAACCATTTTTCATTAACATGTTTTTTGTTTAGATGGTTAGTATTTTTCCTTTTAAGAGGACAGACAGTTCTATAGTTGCTGCTGTAACTTGCAGTGGGACTGTTATCAAAGCTCTGCACCCACGCCTTGGATGCTTCAGTAGCCTTTGAGAAGGTGAAGTGACTCCTGAGAACAGAAAGTTGAGAATCTCTGCCCAAATGGGAGCCTGATGTCTCGGGAAGAAAATGGAGACGGGAAGAACCAAGTTGAGCCTCTCCACTGACAAACACCATTCTGGTTGTGCTTTTCTTTCCTCTTTCAGTGTGTGTGTGTGTGTGTGTGTGTGTGTGTGTGTGTGCACATTTTCACATGTGTCATCCTCTGGAACACTGTCTACATCCTTTGAGACATGGTCTCCCATTGGCCTGAAACTCTCTACTAGGCCGGGCTGGTTGGCCAGCAAGCCACAGCCACCCAACTATCCCTGTCTCCCCACTGCTGAGATTACGAGTGGATACCTTGCCTGGTATTTTCATGTTGGTTCTGGGATTCCAAACTCAGATTCCTAGTCTTGTAGCTTCCACCTGAGCTTCTCCCAAGTATCTCATTACGCTACTTTCTGCGGTGTACTTCTTAAGCACGTAGCCTAATTAAAGCAGAGTTCAAAGGGATGGAGGGATTTTAGCTCTAAAGCATTGCCCTCAATAAGCCAAATAGGGCACTGTGTGTCCTTGAAAGCTGATAGTGATCAAAGCAACTTCTGAGAAACTGGCGTGTTTCCAGGGATTATCAGCTAAGCAATCTTGTGAGAACAACCCCTGTGCAATTTAAGATCACAGACACATCAACAAAAAGTAATGACAGGATAAACTTTTCTGGGGGAAGGGGAAATGCTGGGGATCAAACCCAGGTCCTTGAACATGTTAGGCAAGTGGTAAAGCCAACTTTGTTAAGATGTTCAAGGGCACTAGTGGATTTTCTTAGAGCATGGACTAGCAAATCAATTATGGCCATAGGGGCAAACTTTGGCAAGCCATCTGTTTTTGTAAAGTTTAAATAAAGTTTTATCGGAACACAGCCAGACCAGTTTATTTGATTATTATCTGCTCTCATGGTACAGCAGCAAGCTGAGAGGCTGACCACGGTCGAAAAGCCCTAGAATCTTTACTATCTGCCTCTTTCCAGAGATTGTTGAATATGTTTTATAGCCGCTTTATATTTTGGCTGAGAGTTTTACCAGACTCAGCAGACCTAGATTTAAGTTCCTTCTCGGCTGTTCTTAGCATGTGCACTTGTCTTTCATCTCCCTCTCACAGAATGAGGCTCACCCCAAGGGTTAAACGAGATGAGGCTGGGAAGTGCTCAACAGAGATTCTGCACTGAGCAAATACCTTAGCCACAGTCATCAAATTAGCAGAAATTAGTGAAGTACAAGAGAGACTCCGTACATGGGAACTTAAGAATCAAAAATCTATACACAGCACAAAGATCATGGATCAAAAAAGATGCCTCTGAAAAGCCCTGAGTATCAGGAGGTAGCACATTATGTCTCCCTAGCACTTCAGCACTGCTAGGTTTCCCTCCAGCATCTAAAAAGGTCACTGTTCCTCCAGACCCAGAGCCACACTGTGGGCGGGGGGGGACTCCACAGAGTAAACATGAGCCTTGCTCACTGTGCTGAGATGCTCGCACTGACAAACAGAGGAGACCAAGGTAGATGGCGGGGATAGCAGCATCCCAGCTCCTGTACCACCCTGGAAGGTGGGCATGGCTACCTGATGGGTTAGTCTTCCTCCCAAACCTCCTAAATGACCGACCCCATTTGACCTTGTAAAGTGAACAGATATCCTTTTTAGAAGAATTAGTAACTGTCTGACGAAGCTACTACAGCTGCAAGATGAGCTCAGTAGGCGATGGACAAGGGCAGCAATGTTTGTGTGCATGTGTGTATGTATGAAACACATCTGGAAATATGGAGCTGACAGCTAATGTCAACGGGCAACCGTGAGGAGCACCTGCAGCTTATAATTTAACTGCTGGACACCAAGTGGCATTAGAGAGTTATCTGTGTGGATCCCCCAAATACCCAAGATTAATTGTTCCATTGACATGCATTTACCTGGGAGAAAACCAGTAGTTCATGAGGCAGGACACTACCACATAGGAGATCATGGCTATCCCTGACATGGCAAGCGACACGAAGCCCAAGCCACAGAGGATGCAGAGCAGTGAGAGGCCGCACACAGAGATAATCAGTCCTAGGAGGAAAGCGTGGTTAGGAGGTGCCTTCACCTGAAATGCACAGAAACTGAGAGGGCCCTGGGCCAGGGTATCTAAAATACTGGCAGCTAACTCAGATTTTTGAAGTTGGGAGATTTCCCATTAAAAATCATAATGGCAGAAGGTCCACACCTGGCTAGGCCTCGGCTTCTGGCATCAGCCGATGGGGCCTCTGGTTGCTTCCATTCCCATTGTTCACAAACTATGTTACACTTGGAGTCTCCTTGCTTGTTTTGTTGCCTGTCCAATTTAAAGCCTGGAAGGAGTAAGTCACGCCCTAAATCACAGTGGTGATGGGCGGCTGATGGAACACGAGAGCCTGTGTTTTAGCTACTCTGACAAGCTGCCTTGCACCAGAAAGAGGAGTCTTTATAAAAAATGGCAGATGTTCAATACTGTCCACCTTATTGAGTTACTTCCCCATAACCTAGGGCAGAGTACCTTCCAGTAATATGGCCCCCATGAGAGCACCCAGGGCGGTGAGCACCACGATGAGCAGGAAGAAGCCAACAGGGATAGCTGACATGGTAACAAACATCAGCACGGTGAGAGCCAGGAAAGGATGCCTGTCCAGGTACCGACCCACCGGGGACTTCATGAAGGCAACCACCTGTAGGCAAAGGACAGAGAGCCAGGGTTAAGTGCCATGTCCAAACCTCAGATTGAGCTGATCTGCCTCAGCTGTGGGAAGTACGGCCACAGTCAGAGGCCTCCGGCAAGTCAGAGGCTCCCAGACATCAATATGAAACATCTCCCAAGACGTGAGGTACCTGGCAGCAATATAAGGAATCTGTGGGAAGGGTGGCAAGGGTGAGGTTCCCACCAGTGTCAAGATCTGTGAGAGAAGGAAAGGTCATGTCGCTGCTCTCTTGCCCAGCACACACCCTCTCTGAAAGACACCCTCTTATGTGTGCAATGTGCCTACTGCTCTGCAGCCAAAGTTCTCATAATGAGGGTCGCAAAAGAACAGAAGAGTTAAGTCCTAGCTACTCAGCATCTCTCAAGGGCTTAGTGAAGATGGGGAGCCTTAGGCTCCACCTGATAACTGTTGCATCCAATTCTGCTTTTCAACGAGATCCCAGGTGCTTTGTGTATACATTCAAGTTTGAGATGCAATGGGCTAAGTGGCTAATTTGTAGTCATCCAGTTTCAAAGGGACAAATCCTAGATATTCAAAGCTAAAATCTTTGACTCCAAATGCATACACTGGCTTGCAACCTCAATGCTTTTATGGTACCAACCTGGACGCTATAGTTGGCTACAGACTGATGATGGCAACCATATGTTGCTTTAATAAACAGGTTACCCACCTTTACCAGGTTAAGAGATGGGGACCACACTCCATGAAGAAGGCTGCTTTAGTGCAGAGCTGGTCTTAGTCAAACCCACAAGTATGAGCATTCCCCCTCAGTTTTCAGGTCTCAGGGCTTCACCCTCCTTATTACTGGCATTGAAGCCTGTTCTCTAAAGATCTGATCCCATCATTCAAAAACCTTCCTCTAGAAAAGTAACCACCAGTCCAGCTGGAAACTCCACAGTCTGTAACAGTGACTTTCCTGCGTGTGCAATAGTGGCACAAATGCTATGGGAGTAACCACTCCATGACTGGAGTTAAGGCCCACTCCACAAGGTGGAGCCCTTGCTTGACCTTGCTCCTGTGACCAAGAACCTAGACTAGATAGGCCTAGGGGAAAAACAAATACAATTGTTCTGCTGAAGAAACAGCAATAAAATGACTCCCAACTACATTCTGCTGTAATCATAGATCAGCGCCTCACTCAGCCATCAGCAGAGATGCTTTTTCCTGCAGATGGGAACTAATACAGAGACACATAACTGGAAAATTACAGAGAATAAGAGATTTGGGAATATTCAGTCCTAAATGGGATGCCTTCACCAAACCCCTCCCTTGGGGTTCACGGAACTACGTGAAAGAGGAGGCAGAAAGATTGAAGACTCCAAGGAAACAGTGTCTTCCAGACACAGCAGGAATGATGCACATATGAACTGGCAGCATGCACAGGGCCTGCACAATTTCAAGGAGGACGGTATCCCAGCACTGAGAGGGTCAGATGCATATGAACCCCTAACCAAGAAGCTATCCAGTTACAATGGAAAAAAAAGAGTTTTCTCCAAGGGAGTCTCACTGGCTTATGAGTAGGCCCCATGCCCAGCAGTAGAAGGCCAACATGAAATGAACTCAATGGTATTTTTGTAGACTTTTTGTCTCATATTGCTTTGTTTGGGAATTTTTTGTCTTATTGGCTTTTAACTTGTATATTATGGTTTCCAATTTTGTGTTTTTATGAATTTTGTGTGTGTGTGTTCCTTGTGTTGTTTTCTTTTTGTTTACTATGCTTTGATTTTTGTTTGCCTGTTAGTTCTAGGATTGGTTGTTTTGCTTTGTTTTGAGACAGGATTGCTCTGTGTAGCCCTGGAACTGTAGACCAGATTGACCTCAAACTCAGAGATTTTGCCTGCCTCTGCCTCTGCCTCCCAAATGCTGGAATTCAAAGGTGTGCACCACCATTGACCAGGATACCTGTTTGTTTTAAAGAGAGAGAAAGGGCATGGAGTTGGGTGGATGCCTACTCTCTGGGAGGAGAAAGAGGAGGAGTAGGAGGAGGAAACCAGGATGGAATATAGTGTATGAAAAAAAAAATTTTCAAACAAAACAAAAAGTGACATAAAAATAAAAAAAAAAAGCTGAGTGGGGAGCGCTTCCTGCACTGAAAACTGGTCTTTCCTGTGTCTCACTTCTTTGGGGCTGGCAGGCCAGTGGCTGAAATGAAGTGCCATTATCAGAAGTGTGTCTTTCCAAATCACGTACTTCTCCTGGTGACAGATTTCCAGCCAAGTAATCATAAGGGTGGGAACTTGGGGCAAGTTAGAAACAGGAGAATCTATAGCTCAGGTAAAGGCAGCCAGGCACGGGCTCACCTTGTTTAAACAGATAAGGCCCTTCAGAGCAGCCACAGGCATGGACCTGGGCTTCAGCACTGCCTCCTACAGCATGACGAATTCCACCTCCTGGCACACCACACACAATGTCTTCTATCCATGCTGCCTCCCAACCTGTAACCACACCAGGAATCGCCTCTGAGACCATCTTTCATTAAGGAGTTGAGGTGAGAGGGGGGTAGATAAATTTTGTAAATGCTAAAGAGAGAAAAACTATTTCCCATAGAAATACAACACCTGCATGAAAAATGCTCTATGTATTTGAGGGAAAAAAATCTAGGCTATCTCATTAATTATTTCTCATGATAATTACAGTCTTAAATTATAGTTTGAGATACGATGTGGGAGTCCCCTCTGTGTGCTGTGATTACCATTAATGAATAAAGAAACTGCCTTGGCCTGTTGATAGGATAGAACTTAGGGAGGCAGGAAAGATGGAACTGAGTGCTGGGAGAAAGAAGGACAGAGGCAGAGGGGATGCCATGGATCCACCGCCAGAGATAGACGCGCCGGAACTTTGCTGGTAGGACACAACCTTATGGTGATGCACATATTAATAGAAATGGGTTAAATTAAGATGTAAGAGTTAGCCAATAAGAAGCTAGAGCTAAAGGGTCAAGTAGAGATTTAATTAGTACAGTTTCTGTGTGATTATTTTAGTTCTGGGCAGCCAGAATGAACAAGCGGCTCCTTGCAACAGGGATATATTGGGTTTCTTGAGATACTTTGTTAAAATTAATTTCATAGGTTCCTTTTTCATTTTTAATTTGAGACAGGGTATCATTATTGCCTTGAACTTGTAATCCTCCTGCCTCAAAACTGGAGTGCTAGAATGATAAGACCCACCACCCCTGACTCATTTTGTTTTAAAAGAAAAAAGAAAAAAATTAAAAAAAACATTTATATGATATATGTGACTCTAATACGTCTATTGCACTTTGAAAGTTTTATCTCATGGAAAAATAAGGGGTAAATTGAGAGCATGTGGTGGGGCTGTGACAGACACAAAGGAGCAATTTAACTAAGATGAACCTGGGGTAGGTATGCAAGAGGTGACTGGGGAGATTTGCAGGAAACCAGGCGAGAGCATGAATGGCCAAATCCGGGCCAGAGGGAGATGGGAGGGATGTAGCCTACAGACTAAATGACAAAAAAGAAACCAATAGGACCTGGGGGCAGTTTGGCGTGGGGAATCCAAGAAGTAAAAGGTAGGGATATCCTACTTCCCCCTCTTTCAGAGCCTTTTCTGGGTCTGGCCTCTAAACACCCCCAAAATGAAGGTCCTTCAGAATGCAAAGAAACCATTTCTAAAGAGTCTGCCAATTAAAGTAGGAGCGGTGGCACATAGATACATCTCCTGGGAGGCCGAGGCAGGGGGATTGTGTGTTTGAGGCCAGCTTGGGCTATCTACCAAGACCGCATGTTAAAAAGGGAGAACGAAAGGTAGAAGGGAAAGAAGGCAGGCAAACAATCCCCATGATCAATGTATTAAACTATGTGGTGGTTTGATGAGAATGGCCCCCCTAGGCTCAGATATTTGAACAGCTGGTCCCCAGTGAGGTGTGACCTTCCTGGAGGAAGTGTGTCACTGAGGGTGAGTTTTGAGAGTTTAAAGACTTACACCATTATGAGATTGTTCTCTGCTTCCTGCTTGTGCTTGAGATGTAAGCTCCCAGCTATCCCTGCCACCATGCTGGTGCTTGCTGCCATGCTTCCCCGAGGTCATGGTAAAGGACTCTTAGCCCTCTGGAACCATCAACCCAAAATAGACCCTGTAAGTTTCTTTGACCATGGTATTTTATCACAGCAATAGAAAAGTAACTAAGACAAAACAGTTCAATCCAGGAATTGCTTTCTCTAGGAAAGAATGACCTTCGTCAGGACAGAATGTTGTGGAGACAGCACGGTTCATCCATACCTAACAGCCATACTCATTAAACACAGCACTTTTTAGAGTTTAACCCAAGGGGTTTGCATCTTGCCAAGTGCAAAACCAAAATAAGCATGGCCACAAAGACCTCCTACCTACAGCAGGTAAGGAGAACGCGGGAGTCATTCCCAAAGCAGCACCTCCCAGCAAGGGAAGCATGGTGGGTTTATCCAGAGAGCTACACATATCCATTCAGGAAAACACTGTAGGGGTAAGCGCACTCCTCAGCATGCTGAGTTCCAGAAGGAATGATTTGGGGACATGCTTAACTCAAGGTCATAAAGCGCATGTTCAAAAGGTGAAAAGAGCACACAGGAGCACTTTAGGACACTCTCAACTCACGTCACTCAAAATAGAGACGTAAACTGCTCTGGGTCTGTGTGTGTGTGTGTGTGTGTGTGTGTGTGTGTGTGTGTATGTTCATGCTCACTTGGGTGCACATGTGTGTGCAACACATTTGGAGACCAAAGGATTCCCTTGAGTGCTGTTCCTCAGTCTCTGTCTATCTGACTGTCACTGGCCTGGAACTCACCAAGTAGGCTAAACCGGCAGGCGACTGAGCCCCAGAGATCCACCTGACTCCACCTCCCCAATAATGGAATATAAGTATAAGCCATTACTCCTGTATTCTTTAATGACAGTTCTGAGAATTGAACTCAAGTCCTCAAGCACCTTACCGGCTGACCCACCCCCCCAAGGCCCATTTTTTTTCAGTAAGT